TATGTTTCAATTTAATTTTTGGGTGACGATGAGGTTTGAATTCATGACATTGGCTACTTTGATACCATGTTAACCATCATCTACTCTAAAAGTTTAAGATATTAGAGAGGATGTACTTTAAATCTTATAAAAAAAACATCAACACTTAAAAATTTGAAGCACTTCATTGCATAGACAATAACATCCATAACATATCATCATATCATATAACAATGTCAAATGAGTAATAGACTGTGATACCCCCTAATTTCGGAACACGGGTTGATCAAATCCGCACACAAAATTAAAGGATATCAAAACAATTAAAGTATTTCAAACAAGCACAGAGTACAAAAAGAAAATAAAAAAGAATAAATAACCCGCTGAATGAAAATCTATTAAATAATAATCCATTAATAATTCTCCAATGGTTACAACTCGGAAATCCCGTAACTTAAGGACCCCTTAACCAAAATCCACTATCCAGAAATTCATCAATAAATACTGAAGTAATAATATCCTACTTTGAAATAAAATAGAAAGAATGGATAAGTTCTCCAGCTGCGGATCCTCAACCTTGAGACTTGGACCTTCTAATAACCTGAAAAATAAATTGTGGATTAAACCCACGAGCAAGCTCTCTCTACCAGGCCTCTGAAAACCAATAAAAAGATCATCTCTGACTAAAGCCAATCCTACTAAAGTCTTTTATCTTTAATATACAATGATACATACATACATATATATATATATATATATATATATATATACATACATATGTATATATAATTATATATAATACGATAGTCACATCTATTACTAGGTTCATAAATTTCAAAACCATTAACAATGATTAAATAATAATCATACCTAGACCAATCCATCATTTCTTTAAAAAAAATTCATTAACCTTAATCACATCCTAGACAGTTAATTAATCATTTAAACAATAGAATATAATTAAATGAATATTATATTTAATCCAAAACCCAATAATGATTTAATTATTTAAATCACACAGTCAATATCTAGGTTTTGACAAATCATCCATGTCTCTACTAATATTATTTTATTAATATACATAAAATAATATACTAATTTGTAATTACTAGAATATTCTACTTTAAGAATATATAATCCTAATCCAACCTATACATATATTAACCTTAGATGGAAATTTAATCGTTTAACACATAGCAATTTAATTACGCTTTGGCAAATCTACTATGCCATTATAAATATATTTATTTATATATTGGCAATTCAACCATGTTTCCTTTAAGTATATTTTATTTATACATTGGCAATTCAACCATACCTCTACAAGTATATTTATTTATACATTAGTAATTCAACCATGCCTTTATAAGTATATATATATTTATACTTTAAAACTAACAACTCATCCATGCTTCTTATATATGTATTTTATTCATACAAATATTTAGGCAATATATTTACGCCTTTGGCAACTCATCCATGCCTACAATTCAACCACGTACCAAACCTTAAAAGTTAATTTATCGACCAAACAATTCTTACATAGGCAAATTAACTTATCAACAAAACAACTTATACCTAGGCATTCCATGCATATCATATGCATATAATTAATTTAATAACCAACCTATCTAGATATATCAAATAAGACTAATAATATTAATTATCTTAAATAATATATACATATACACATATATTATTTAATATATATATATATATGTGTGTGTGTGTGTGTGTGTGTATAACACCTTCCGTAATAATCCTTAATTATTTAAAATCATATATACATATATATAAATAATTATATATATATAGATGTCCATCCATACAACTCATAAATTAATTAAACCAGATATAAATATATATAAATAAATGTGTATATATATATTCCTCCTTCCATCACCAATATATTAATTTAATTATATTTATGCAAATTAAATGCTACTAAATATCGTCATAAATGATTTTCCATAAATACTCCATCTCGGTTTAAATAATTTTTCGACACTGTCTTACTAAAACGTAAATATCTCCTAGTATGATAGGAATCTGATAATGAAATTGATACCATTGAAAAGAGAACAAAAAATCCTTAAATTTGAGCTCAAGAATGACCCAATTTCGATTTAGAATGACTGAGTTATGACCGTTTAAATTTCGAGTAACAAAACAGGCAGAATAATAGGTTAAGCTCAATCGCTACTGTGAGCGCGATCTCACTGGATTAAATACGACACGTGGCGCACTCTGATTCACTACTGCATCAACTCTAATGGTTCGCGCCGTACCAAATTATTTCTAAGTTGACTACACCTAAACTATGGTTCAAATTCACACGTGCACCATACTATCATGTGCCCCGCCACACCTGATCAATCCACCATCCATCAACTCCACCCACGGCCCAGATCAGCCTGTGCACCACATTATCATGCGCCGCACCGCATCAGATCCTCCGCCGCTTCATCAAATCATCTCAGCCCTTCATGATCCGCGCACACCGTAATACCATGTGCCGCATCGCACTGGATTAAACCCCTATGTTGATACGCCAATTCCACAGAAGCCACCAGTTTATATATATAACAATTTTTATATATAATTATACCCAGAATAATTATAAAATAATTAAAACAATTATTTGAAAAATAAAAACCCAATCCAAAAAATTCCATAAAAATCCCAGAAAATTTCAAAAAAATTCTAGAAATTCTAGAAACCCTAATTACCCATCTTGGGTCACAGATCAACCTATATGTTGATTTTAAAATATATATACAACACCTACATATATCAATTAAAATCCAATAATTCAAAAAAAAATCAAATAATAATATATGCTTTTAATTATTCCGATCTAACCATGATTTTTAAGCAAATAAAATTAATCTATACATTGATACTCAAGGTGAAATCCTTATCAGTTTTAAGAGGAAAGTTAGAGAAGAACTTGCCTGAAGGTTTCGAAACGAAACCAACGCTTCAAGTTTTGATTATGTCTTTCAATTCCGGCGTTTTCTTTCTCTGATCCGGCCTCATCTTCACCAGCCTTCTCTTCTTCTTCTCTCTCTGTCTCTCTTATTTTCTAACGAAATTTTTTTTTAACCCTAAAGCCTTATGTGTATATTTATACACATAAAAATCCAAATCCTATTCCTAGTATGACTACCAAATAAAAGAAATAATAATTATTAAATAATATATATACACATATATTATATAGTATATATTTGTATATTTCCTTCCATATTAATCCTTAACTAATTAAATCATAAACATATATACATATATCAATAAATATATATATATATATATATATATATATAATTATGTATATATAAATATAATTAATTAATAATTATTATGTAAGGAAATATATATATATATACATAATTTTATATATATAAAATTATGCAAAGATAATTATTTAAATATCTTTATAACCATAGCCCTTATTAATGAACCCAACAAGGCTTCCTTCAAGCCCGAGACCACATTCATTGGTCCCACTCCTCTTAAGCCCAATCTAATTAAAATTAACAATTAAAAAAATTAAATTAAAGTTAATAATTACAAATAATTAATAAACAATTCACACAAGCATAAATACACACAAAGCAGTCCACAAATATAACCAATTCAATCAAAGCATTCCACAAAGCAAAACACCATATCAGTTCAACAAATATAATCACGAAATATAATCTAATTAAAATAAGATAATTAATCTAAGCACTCAATTAAATAAAACAAATCATTTTAAAATAAAATAAAAGTAATTAATTCTAATTAATAAATCCTTTAAAATATCGGGGTATTACATTCTTCTCCCCCCCTAACAAAAGAAATTCCGTCTTCGGAATTTACGAATCCATGAAATGAAAACTTTGATTATTTAATTTCAAATTTTATTTTTTCTTTATCCGTGTGAAAATTAACCCATCCACACATACTCATAATTAGCAGGCATATCTCGTAATTAGGTAATTCCATATTTATATAATTGATAAATATAAGTACACACTAGAGACTCTCACTGGACTAAGGCAATCTCAACCGAATAGTGGGTATCTCATGCAAAACGCACACAAAGGTGGTCACGAGTCCTCCTTCTACCAGGCCCATGCATCCTTAAATCCAGCTACCCATCTCAATCGGTAATATACGCCTCCATCCTAACCACTGATCTTGAGACTCAAGTTCATATCGTGGCACATATCTATACATATATAAAATCCATTCTATCCAAACATAAAAGTAAACTAATTGTTAGAATAGACACGAGACCCAAAACGAACCTGGCCCATAAGCTTATTTTCTGGGCATGACTTGAGTTTTGATGTTAGATCAGGTTTGATTGTAGTCATGTCCACAAAGTTAATATTTTGTCCCCGTAATATCGGTCTCGTGATTAGTGGATCACGGTTATTTAGGGATTTTAATTTATTTGACTTTATTTTATTTTTTTATTGTAACCCTACTTGGTATATATAAATACAAGTGTGCCTACACTCAATTAGAGGCAAGCAATTACACAATTTATTTTTTCTCTTTTAAGACTGCTAACTATTGTAATTTAGTGGTATCACTTCTATCTCCTAAAGTACATGGTTGAGGATTCAAGCTGCCATTGAAATAGAGTCAGTGTGTGATTTATTTGTCAGAAAAAAAGGAAAGAAAACGGTAGATGAAGTTTTAAGAATTGAAATTTCTTATCATGAAGTTGCTTTACCAAATTAGATTCAGAATTTTGCCAATAGTATTGCATCTTGCTACCTTTGTCTCTTTCTTTGTTTGTTTCTTTCTCTTTTCATATTCCTTTAACATATTATTAACTTTCTATTTATTCAATATTGCCACAAAATTCAGCATGCTACATTATTATATTCGGGAGGTACTGGCCAAACTAAACAGCATGAAAAATTTATCTGCTTCATTCATTTTCAACTCAGGACATATTTGATTTGATTTCTTCTTTTTCTTTGTCTTTTTCCCCCTCCTATTCGCGCTGCAATTCGTAGGTATGAGTCAACTTTCATCCAGAAAATCATTAAAGAGATTGGGAGAAAATTGAATCGTACAGTCTTGAGTGTTTGTCCATGTCCAGTTGGATTAGATTCTCGTATAAATGACATAAATTTGTGGCTACAAGATGGATCAAACAAAGTTGACATAATGGCAATAGGTGGGATGGGAGGAATTGGGAAGACAACGGTTGCCAAAGCTGTCTATAACCTAAACTTTGATAAATTTGAAGTTAGCAGTTTTATTGCAAACATAAGCGAGAGTTCATCAAAACCCAAAGGTTTGGTTTATTTACAAAGACAGCTTCTTTCAAATATTTTAAAGGGAAAAATGGTAAAAGTTAACAGTGCTGATGAAGGAATCATGAAGATCAAAGATGCTATTTACGGCAAAAGAGGTTTAGTTGTTCTTGATGATGTGGATCAAGCAGACCAATTAAATGCAATACTCACAATGCGAGATTGGTTTCATCCAGGAAGTAAAATTATCATATCAACTAGAAATGAGCAATTGCTGAAGGCAAATGAACCATATAAGATTTATAGAGTTAAGGAATTAACCCACGATGAATCGTTACAGCTCTTCAGTTGGCATGCCTTTAAACAAGACCGCCCCATTGAAGGTTACATGGAGCACTCAAAAAGCGTTGTGAAGTATTGTGGAGGGATTCCTTTAGCTCTTCAAGTTTTGGGTTCTTCTCTATTTGGGAGAAGTGTCAATGTGTGGGAAAGTGCATTAAAGAAATTAGAAGCAATTCCTGACAGTGAGATCATTAAAAAACTTAGAGTAAGCTTTGATTCTTTACAAGATGACCACGACAAAAATTTGTTCCTTGACATAGCTTGTTTCTTTGTTGGAAAGGATATAGATTTCGTAGTAATAGTATTGGATGGCTGTAAATACTTCACAAAATTCGGGATTGACAACCTCATTCATAGGTATCTCTTAACAATCAATGAAGATAACAAGCTGACAATGCATCAGTTGCTTCGGGACATGGGAAGAGATATTGTACGTCAAGAATCAGACAAGGAACCAGGAAAACGCAGCAGGCTGTGGCTTCATGAGGATGCCTTAAATGTATTAAGAGAAAATACGGTAAGAATTATGCTTTCTATGTCTATTTCAATGTTTTTGTTGCATAGTGTGCTTACTTAATGAGTCCTCTTTACCAGGGAACAGAAACCATTGAAGCCATCATCCTCAACTTGCAGATGTCAGAAGAAGATAGGCCACTTGGAAGATTCAGTTTAAACAATTCAAAAAGACACCATTCCAATGATTTTCTTGATGAATCAACATCGCAACAACATAGCAATTGGTGGAAGCAACTAGGCTTCTCTGTAACTTCTATCTTGACAGGGTCTTCTTCCACATCAAATGTAGTAGACTTACAAACCCATGCATTTTCAAGGATGCACAATCTAAGATTGCTGAATCTCAGTAATGTAAATCTCACTGGAAACTACGAACATTTTCCTAGGAGGTTGAGATGGTTGTCTTGGTGTGGGTTCCCTTCGAAATTTATACCCAATGACTTTCCTATGGAGAGCCTTGTTGTTCTTGAGATGCAATATAGCAGCTTGAAACACGTTTGGAAGGAAAACAAGGTATGATATTAAGTTATTTATTTAATGTTTTTTCTTTTCTTTGGGAATTAATTGGAATATTCATATATACCAGCTAATTTCTTACTTTTTCTTACAGTTTCTCAAATCATTGAAAATCCTCAATCTCAGTCATTCCCATTGCCTGACCAGTTTGCCTGACTTCTCACAAGTCCCTAATCTTGAGAGCTTGATTCTTGAAGGTTGCATAAATTTGATTGAGATTGATGAATCCATTGGGGAATTGGGAAGACTAGCTTTTTTGAATCTAAAAGATTGCAAAAATCTTAGGAAGCTTCCGTTGAAAATTTGTCACCTAAAATCTCTTTTAACTCTCAATCTCTCTGGTTGCTCAAAGCTCTTCCAGGTTCCATACAACCGGTATTGGGGATCAGGATCAATAACCCTCAGTTTTTCCCATATTTCTTTACCATCGTTGTTAGTAAGTTTAAGTCTTGCAAACTGCAATCTATCGAACGATGCTATTCTATGTCAGCTTGTCAACCTATCCTCATTGGAGTACTTGGATCTAAGCAGAAATTCATTCTCTAGGATACTAAAGAGCATCAACTTTCTCGCAAAGCCCAAGCTCAAGCACCTGAATATAAGCCGAAATCCAATCTCTCGGATATCAAAGAGCATCAAGTTTCTCACTATGCTTGAATCACTTAGATTAGTGAATTGCACACGACTCCAGTCACTTCCGGAACTTCCAATGAATGTAAAGTACTTGGACATAACAAAATGCAGATCATTGGAAAAGTTAACAAATCTTCCAAACCTGTTGAGTTCACTTTCCATGGAAGCAGATGGCTGTGACAAACTCATTGAAGTTCAGAGAGTGTTTAAGTTAGAACCCATTGGAAATAATGATGCAGAAATGATCAGTAATTTGGGCTTGTCCAACTTGGAATTCTTGGGAAATGTTGAGGTGTACTTGTTCAATAACATGACACAAACTGGAAGAAAAGTTTCATTACAGGTTTGTTCCCTCTCTCCCATCCATCTCTCATCTCTCTCCCTCTCCCATCCATATCTATGAGAGTTAAAAATTATGATTTCCATGATTGCAGGGACTGTACGAATGTGGTATATTTAGCACTTTTGTTCCTGGGGCCGAGGTTCCAGGCTGGTTCAGGTTTAAGAGCACGGGATCTTCAATATGTTTCAGGTTACCTTCACTTACTAATCTCAAGATCCAAGGCTTGAAAGTATGTGTTGTCTATGCAAGTACTGAGGGAGTTTCCAATCTCATTACTTATTGGAAAGACTTCTATATTAAAATTAGTAATAGGACCAAGGATCTGAAGTGGATGTACAGCCCAACGTTCATAGGCATTCCAGATGATGAAAACAAAGATCATATGATATGGTTAAGCAATTGGCAGATCAGGAATCAGTTGGAAGTTGGTGATGAAGTAATAGTTTCAGTGCTCCCGTGGCCTGATTACGTGATAAAGGAATTTGGCATCGATGTCGTATTTGAGCAAGAAGATAAGAGTACCAGCGGATGCAGCACCAGTCCCTATTGGTCAAATGTGGATGAGGTAGATTGGTCTGCATATCAGTTGACAACAGGCGTGTACTCCCTCAACCATTATGATACTCGCTTCCGTCGGTTATTCGCATACGATTTCTTTACTGGGGACTCTGAAGAAACTACTAGTGTGGTTACAGTAACACCCCGATGGAAATGTGCGGCAGCAACGCCAATTATGTAGGTTTTCTTCTCTCTCGCTCTCTAAATGAAGCAAATGGAAGCTATTTGTCTATAAAAAAAATGTTTGTTGTAAGTTATGAATCCCATTTATATGTATGTTACCAACCTACGTCATATATGTCGTCAGCGAAGCCACCTACAACACCAACACCCACTCCTTCTTGTCATCATCTTCTTCTTCTTCTACGGTCTCTCACTCTCATTGAGAAGACCCATCCAGCCACCACTCTCAGGTCGATCAGATACCCTATATAAGATATTTAATTTTGCCCCCTTTGTCTGAAATTAGAATTGTGTATATATATATATATATATATATATATATATATATTATATGCATATGATCAATTCTAAAAAATTGGGTTTTCTTTTTATATTGATTTGTATGTGTGTAAATATAAATATATGCGTGTTTGTGTTTGTTATATTTGTCAGTCTTCAATGATCCTGCTGGGTATATCTGTTGTTCTCTCTTGCAAATTAGGACCTCCTGTTTGTTCGAGTGTACAAAACGATTTCTGGTCTCTTTCTCACAAACACACACAGAAAATGCTTGAGGAGGTTTGGAATTACATTTCATCTTTATTAAGCCAACTGAGAATAAACTAATTAAGTAAAGTGCAAGTTGTGGAAATTTGATAATCATAATTGAATGCGCTGATCCATAGTTAGTGCAACTGTGGCATATGGATGTGTAATGTGTAATGAGATAATCCATAGTATTGATACCGATGACATCCTTCAAAACAGGTATTACATTTAGGCTCGTTTTTTTCTAACATAATATATTTTTCAAATAAGTTTTTTTCTTTTTTTTCATGTAAAATATTTTTTTATTTATATTTTTTTGGTGTTTGAAAAAGGTCTAGGTCCGAGTCCATCGGGCAGGGCTAGTAAACTAACTTGTCAAAAATTATGAATAAGTTATTTTTGTTAAGTTTTAATATATATTTTTTTTGACAAATATTTTACAACCGTCAAACACTTTATTGACAGTCAAACACTAGAAAATAAAAAATATATATATATTTTTAAAAATATTTTACATCCAAACAAACAGAGCTTTACAGATGACATTTTTCATAATTATTTTTCTAGCGTTTTGGTTCACATTAACTACGATGTAAAACATTAAGTTGTTGATTTTACAGAGCATAGCTTGAATGAATAACTTTTTATGTTTGTTATTGCAAAATGTAGTTTTGATTTGATTTACATATATGAATGCTGCTATTAATGGAAGTAATAACCTATTAACTTATTCAGTGAATGGCTGATTGTGCAGGTGAAAGCTCAGCGCGGGGAACGAAGCTTTGATCATATATATATATATATATTTTATATGTATACTTAATTTCTGTTTTGGTGTTCAATAAATAATTCAGTTGACATGGACCTGTTGGTTTTAATCAAGTTACGATGTGGGATTTGTAAGAGACTTCTGAATGCTGGTTTGGTGAGCAGTTTTTCTGTTACTATTACTACTACTTTCTATTTCATAATTTTTTTTTTCCTAATGGAGGAAAATTTTATAGATATAAACAGTAAAAATATAAAGGATTCATGGGGCATACCCCACACCAAACAGAACTTAAAACAGGCAAAACATGCCTAACCACATCTTAGTGGAGAACACTAAGAACATCTTGAAGACAAACCCCCAAGATATCCATAATTTCCCATAAGATACCTTTCGCTAAATCAGTTGAAGAAGTATAAATATCATTGTGTATTTTAGCATTCCTCTCCTTCCACAAATAGTATAGAGTTGCAGTAAAAATCATTTTATAGAACTTAGTCCGCATGGAATTCACTTTGAACTTCAAAGCACAATCCAAAGCAAACTCCTGAATTGAATTAAAAGGCTGTAGATTCTAGTGAAAAATATCAGCCAATTTCTTCCATACCCTCCAAGTAAATTCACACAAGCAAAAAATATGATCATTATCCTCGGTGCTATTACAACAGAGCACACATTTAGAAGCCAGTGAGTGACCCTTTTTCTGCATATACATACTAGTGAGAACTGCATCCTGCAAAACCATAACAGCATGAGTGGACCACCTTGTTCGACCACCATTCCAACAAAGCTCAAACCAGAAAAATTCTTGTCTTCTAACCCTACAGGCATTCCAAACAGATTTGAAAGTGAATTGATTATCCTTCCAATACATTCTATCGTTCCCACCTTGAATATTCTGCTGCAGAAAGAATTGTTGCAATTCCACTGGAATAGTGTCCATATTTAACTACCCTTCATCAACAAAATCACCAATGCATTTCTGTTTATCTCTACTGAGGTGATGCAAAACCCTATGACTATAGATTTCAGATAAGAACTTGCCGTCACACCATGGATCAAGAAAAATCTTAATATCAGTTCCATTACCAATTGTAAATCTGCAATGACTCCTAAGAACATCTCTCGTTGACAGAAGAGTCTTCCATATGGAAGAAGAAGAAATTTTTGGAACCACCTGCAGAAAGAGGCCCCTTTAAGATAACAATTCTTGAACCAAGTCACCCAAATTCGATCCTTAGATAAGAGAAAATCCCATGCTAAAACACACTTAGCAGCCAGATCAATATCCAACACTCTTCTTAATCCCAAACCTCCTCCTTGTTTTGGAGCAGCCAGCTTCTGCCAATTAAGACCATGCATTTTGAGATTAATATCATCATGTCCCCAAATGAAATTCCTCATTCTTCTCTCAATAAGTTTAATGACACCCGTAGGTAAAGAGTACACTGAAGTCCAATACTGAATCAGAGGAGTAATCACAGCCCTGCATAACTCCACTCTACCTACCAATGAAATATGTAACCCATTCCATCTAGTGGTAGTTAAATTGACCTTGTCCAACAGCTTAGCGCAGTCTCTCCTTCTCAACATTCTATCAGAGATAGGAAGTCCTAAATATGTGAAAGGAAGTTTACCCTCCTTACACCCTAGGCACCTTAGGACAACATTCTTTCGCTTGATAGACCTAGTAAAGAAAATCTCTGATTTTTCCTTACTCACAGAAAGACCAGACACCTTCTCAAAATGTACCAATATCCTTTTAAGTGACAACACAGTAGCCACGTTAACTCTAACCACAATTAAGAGGTCATCGGCAAAGAACTGATGTGACACAGGAACCCCGGCTGTGATTGCAGCAGCTGAAAGCACAATGCTACCTCTCCTAACTTTTGACTACACCAAGCCTGAAAAATATTCAGTCACAAGAGTAAAAAGTAAAGGAGATAAAGGAACAGCCTTGTCTCGACCCTTTGTGAGGTTGAAAAAATCCACAGGGGTTGCCATTGACCAAAATAGAAAACCAAACTGTGGTCTATTTCATAATTTTAATATGGGTGTTTTTGTAATTTTAAAATTATAATTATTTTAGCTTTTAATTTAACACGAAATCATTAGGTCAATTTTGTCATTTCACAACCTTGGTAAACGGGTCGGTTACGGGGTATGGGGTAATTTGATAGCTTTTTTTTAGTTCAAGGAATATTTAATTTTAGTGATATTTTTTGCACAAAAATAATAACATAGGGGGTTATGTGATTTTACCCCTATATAAAATCACTTATATATTAGAAAAAAAGAGCAAATTATATATAAACAAAAAAACCACTACTTTTAATTTTTGGCACAATACCACATCTATTGAATTATTGCAACTTTACTTAGTGTAACGGGTGGGCGCTTGCCCATTTACCCAAAAGCTCGAACTGTTAGGTAAGGCTGCATATCTACCCATTTATACCCAATCTCTTTCCCATCCGATTCCGATGTGGGACAAAATGATCCTTGTTACATTCTCCCCCATCCAAACTCGCAACGCCCTCGTTGCGGTTGGGCCACCCTGCCTACCCGGGTGGACTCACCCGGACGCCTTCCGGGCCGGGCGCTTGGCGTGGCACCGGATCAAGGACTGGGTTTGGCTCTGATACCAACTGTAACGGGTGGGCGCTTGCCCATTTACCCAAAAGCTCGAACTGCTAGGTAAGGCTGCATACCTACCCATTTATACCCAATCTCTTTCCCATCCGATTCTAATGTGGGACAAAATAATCCTTGTTACACTTAGCCATTAGAATTATTTTATATGACATAAATGTCTTTTAATAAAAATATATGTTTTCTTTAAGCTGATTTTCATTTTAGGTTCTATTTTTTGTATAACTTTTTTAAAAAAATTATGCGCAATTAAAGTGATATTATAAGGATAAAAATGTTTTCTAATATAAATTTAAGAAATTTTAAATTTTCTTTAAAAATGATTTTCATTTTAAATTTTTTTTCCTTTCTTATAAAATAAAATTTTAAGAAAATTATCTACCTTTAAGATGATGTTATAATTACCGAAAATTACACATAATTAATACAATGACGAACAGCCCACCCAACCTGGGAAAGGCATTCGTAATTTCCGTGGTTTTTGTATGCATTTGCAAGGATCCTTCCTCCGTGTACCCCACTCTCACTAATTATTACCCACTCCCACTAATTATTAATGCTTCTTTCATTTCCTCCTCTTCCCTAATTACCATCATTGAAACTTTCTTTTGTCCTTGGGTCACACAATACACTCTCTCTATCCATTTTGTCCTCTATCTCCCCTCGTCACTCAACAAAACAATTTCAATTGTAGGTAATTTTTCAAATCTTTTACCCTGTTTATTATGTACTTTCCGTCTTAAAAAGAATGCACTGGTTAAAACATCATGGATTAAAATTAGGAAATTTTCTTCCGCAATCATTGAATTTTTTAAATCTTGTTATGTATTCTCTCAGAGTCACAGTTTTTCAAACAAGATACATCATTTTTGAAACAGAGATAATATAAAAGAGGATATGCATATGTGAATAAATAAAAGAAATTACATAGATAATAAACTAATGGGTCTGTTTTCTTCCTTCTTGTTGAGTTGAGCAATATATGTTGATGACTTGTTAGATCTATTGTCTCTCTCTTTTTCAGATCAGATTAGTCACACCCTAATTAGTTATTTTTGTTTTACTTTTTTATTATTGCTGACTCATGTATTGGTGGCAAAATTTTAGGAATTTATTCTGCAATGTATGTGTGTATATATATATATATTGGTCTGTTTTCTTACTTCTTGTTGAGTTGAGCATTATATGTTGATGACTTGTTAGATCTATTGTCTCTCTCTTTTTCATATCAGATTAGTCACACCCTAATTAGTTATTTTTGTTTTACTTTTTTATTATTGCTGACTCATGTATTGGTGGCAAAATTTTAGGAATTTATTCAGCAATGTGTGTGTGTGTGTATATATATATATATATATGTCTATATATAAGTGAAAAAGAAAGGACGAAAAAGACGAACTGTCTCAGTCAGAAACAACAACTTTCTCGTCCTGCCATAGGAGACAGGCACATATATACAAAGAGGCTTCATACCTGCCATAGGAGACAGGCACATATATACAAAGAGGCTTCATACCTGCCATAGGAGACAGGCACATATATACAAAGAGGCTATGAAGCACGGACACCGACACGAAATACGGGTAGGATACGACACGGGTATAGTAATACGGCAAATTTTAGAAAAATAGGACACGAACACGACATGGATACAGCGATAAAATAATAATATAATTTTTATTATATATAAAAAATATTTATTTTTACTTAATTTTTTATATATATTAATTAATACAACCCATATAAATTAGCTGAATCAACCTTTTTTTTTATTTTATAAAAAACATAAAGTCAATAAGCACCTTACAAAAAGTCAAAAACCAGTGGCCGGAAATCAGGTGAACAAAGTTAGAATCATCCTCAATACTAATACAGAAATAACAAATATATATCTAGAGCACTATTTATAAAATTATATATATATATATATATAAAAGAAATAATACTGATATGACGTCTCACGTAACCCCCTATTTTTCTCCCCAATCTCTTATTTTCCAATGACCCACGTGACCGCTACTCAGATCCCCCTTATCTTCAGTTCTTCACACACAATTTGAACACAAAAGCAAACACCACTGTTCACAGGGCCATTCCCATAAGGCGTCTCTGCTTCGTTGATTCCCCTTCTATGTTCACAATTTGAGATCAAAGCAAAATCAAATTTACCTCTTCTTGTCTCCCATCGTTCCGACATTCACTTATTTCTCTCTATCTTCAAATTTACCTCTTTGTGTCCCCCTTATCTTCAATTCCGATCATTCACTTATGGCTCTCTTCCTTCACTACTTCAGGCAAAATATCTCAGTCCTGAGATGAGAATGCAAAAGAGGCACAGTGGAATCAGATCGGTGTCTGGTGCGTGTCCGATCGATGTCTGGTGCATGTCCGATCGATGTCCGACCGTGTCCGATCGGTGTCCGGCTACATCAAATATATTAAAATATGCAGGACACGGTTAGAGCGTGTTGGACACGTGTCTAAGCCTTGGATACGCATGTCCGTGTCGGACACGTGTCCGACACTGGTACGTCGACCCTTAGAGCCGTGTCGGTGCTTCAT